GGTACCTTATCCACTAGACTCCCGCGGCGGGGATCAGCGCTGAGTAGTTCGAGTTAACTCGCATACAGCGACATGCACGACAGTAGCACGTCGTTGGTGTAGGCCTTCCGTCACATCGGGGTCTTTTCACTGATGCCGTTGCATTTGCCGTTCTCTCGTATTTCCTTCTTTTGCGTATTCTCCATCTTCAGCTAGCCGGTGTCACTTCGCAGCCATTTGTTTGGCTCATTGTTTTCGTCTTTCACTTTAGTGTAAATTGGGAGTAATGAAATTCATGCCATTTCTGTGGCCCATACTAGTTTATGATGGTAATAGATTTCTAATAGGCCGACCAATTGCACATACCCCTTTTTGTTTTTGTTTTGATAACTGTCACCCTCTTCATTCTTGTGTGATAGACCATTGGTCTCAGTGTTGCATTGTTATTTTTAGTGAGCCAGTGCATAGAACTTAGTCAATTTGTTTTCGCTCCTACACAATTATGAATCGGGATATGGCCTACAGTTTACGGCTAGCTTAAACAGCTTGTTTGTTCAAAGAGGTAATTCCACGAGAAAGGGCTCAAATGCCGTATTAAATGTATCCCATCGATGAACGAGTTCCAGATCGACTTTCTTGATCTTCTCAGTTGAGTTGCATGGGCTCAGGAAAAACAAGCGTAGTTGCTGTCACCTTGGTCAAACATCGTGTCAAGTGCGGAAGGGAGATGACGTATTGTATACGTTACAGAAATAAAGTATAATAGCCAACGCAAGGAAAGCATCATGGGCTTTACTGTCATTGCCATTCCTGCTGCTAGAAATGATAAAACATGCAACGACCCCAAAAACTACTTCTCTTAGGTATGTACGATTCACGGCTACACACTCAACATATGTGCGCGAATGTATAGCGTTCCCTTGTCGTGGTCTCCCGTTATCTGGCGTTCAGTAAGAACGAAGCTCTCAATTATGAGCAGCTACCTAACTGTTCATCACAATATATACTGTTATTTGATCAGCCATTCTGACGTTGATGAAGTTTATTGCAGTTGAACAAAAGGTTACAGTGTAGTGGCTGCTGGACGTCGACACCTAATTATACCCCTCATATTTCGTAAAAAAAAAAGCTATTTAGAATGGTCAACATTGCAAAACCTCGTCACGTTTGGTACTGCGAATCTGAAACATAGGCATTCCTAGATGTATATAAAATTCACTCTGAAACGCATGAATTGTCTAAACAGGCCTATAATATGCCCCTTGCAGTCACATATACGTCACTGACACTTCTACACCCATTATAATATTGTCCTTGGCTTCTGATGGAAACCAAACTGAACAATAAATATCGACTATGCGTCAACTGTCTACCCATTTAGCCCATAATTGTCATAGCCATAACGATTTTAGGATTACTTCAGAGACTTCTTTTTTTACCCCGTTTCTATTTTTAATTATAAGGCAGGAATCCGCAAATCTCCTCTGGCTCGCCTCTCTTCCTCGGTCGCTCTTCGTTTTTGGTGCAGGATACGGCTCTGCAACTTTCATACTTTATTTTTTATCTGTCCAGTGTTTGTAACTCTTTTTGGGGTACGTTACGCCCCAAATCAAGATCACTCCTAAAGCAATCTCTGAAATAAACCGTTCTTATCTAAATTCAAGACGTTGTTAAAATCACTCTATCGGTTCTTTCTAAAAAAACACTCTGGTCTAGATTCTGGGTTACTCCAAGCCAAATCTGCTTTATAAGTTGATATGGCTCCATACCTGAATCCATAAAATGATTTTTTAAGCTAGGCTGTTCTACTCAGCTGCTCCCCATCCTGTACAGAGGTGAGGAAAGGATCCTCGTGAGAGGTTGTTAAAAGATGAAGGGCAGAAGACAAACATAGCACCACAGTGTGAAATGTGCAGCACAAGTAATTTACGGCTTCTGCATTCTACTTCCGTGTAAATGAAACAGCGGGATCGGCACTAGGGGGAGCTGAAGTGTAAATTGAGGTGCCATAACACTCTGCGACTACTGCTGAGAGTAGCCTTCGCAGCGGCAGTCTGTGCATTACGGTGCAGCCTGCCATTCGCAACGTAGAGAAATGGCTACTGGCGGAATTTTGTAAGTGCATGAAACATTTCGGCTAGCAAGTAAGCATACGAAACCATTTATTTCATTCATTTGTTTATTTATTGTGCTCGTAGAAACTCATAGGGCAGACGGGGTGCCGCCAAGATGAAAATAACAATTACGCGAGGTCTGCGCCAAGCATAGCGCTCGCAGTTTTAATGGGAGGCCGGCGGTGGATATTAAGAGGCGCAGTGACCCTGTGGACGAAACTGTTTCAAAATAAAAGCAAAATACTGGCCAAAGCAGTCATGACTGCGTGAAATGTAATATTAGAACCATGTAAAGTTGCAAGTCAGCTGAAAATTTTAATTCCTGTAGGAACAGCAATAATTATGGTTGCCGATGTAAAATAAGCTCGAGTATCTACATCTATTCCAACTGTGAATATGTGGTGTGCTCACACAATGAATCCTAATAAACCAATTGCCGCTATAGCATAAATTATACCTAAATTTCCAAAAGGCTCTTTTTTACCTGTATTATAACAAATAATTTGAGAAATTATACCAAAGCCTGGTAAAATTAAAATATAAACTTCAGGGTGGCCAAAAAATCAAAATAAATGTTGATATAAAATAGGGTCTCCTCCGCCTGAAGGGTCAAAAAATGAAGTATTAAAATTTCGGTCTGTTAACAATATAGTAATAGCCCCTGCTAAAACAGGTAAAGATAATAATAAAAGAATGGCTGTAATTAAAACAGATCAGACAAATAAAGGTATACGTTCTATAGATATGCCAATAGAACGTATATTTAAAATAGTTGTAATAAATTAATTGCCCCTAAAATTGATGATGCCCCAGCTAAGTGAAGAGAAAAAATGGCTAAATCAACAGAAGGGCCGTAATGAGATAAATTTGATGATAATGGGGGATTACACAGTTCATCCAGTCCCTGCTCCTGATTCAACTAAAGATGAATTAATTAATAAAAATAATGAAGGGGGTAAAAGCCAAAATCTTATATTATTTATACGTGGAAAAGCTATATCAGGGGCCCCTAATATAATAGGGACAAGCCAATTTCCAAATCCCCCAATTATAATAGGTATTACTATAAAGAAAATCATAATAAATGCATGGGCAGTTACGATTACATTATAAATTTGATCATTACCAATTAATCTTCCTGGTTGACCTAGCTCAAGTCGAATTAATATTCTTATACTTAATCCTAATATTCCTGCTCATGCACCAAAAATTAAATATATGTTCCAATGTCTTTATGATTAGTTGAGTATATTCATCGCGGTAAAATGGCTGAAGTTTAGGCGGTAAATTGTAAATTTATTAATGAATATGATTCTTTTACTAATAAGATTTATTATAAAAATAATTTTTACTTTGAAGGTAATTAGTTTAATTTAACTTAAAATCTTCTTATATATATATATAAATTAAAACAATTAGAATAATTAAATTTATGTTTATATAAATATTTTATTTATAAAATATTATTTCAAGTAAAAAATTTTAAATTAATAAAAAAAAAAGGAATAATTATTCGTATATAAAAAAATAAATTAAGTAATGAAGATAAAATAAGCATGAAAATAAAAATTAATTTCAAATTTATTAATAAATAAATTGATACAATTTTTATGAAAAATCCTAAAAATGGAGGTATTCCTCCTAGAGATATATTAATATAATTATTTTAATTTTAATTTCTAATTTTATTTTTTTTTTTATAAAATCAGAAAAAAAATTAATTTTATATTTATTAAAAATTCTAATAATATTAAAGAAAATAATAAAATATAGTATTAAATAAGCAATTCAAAAATTAAGTTTTTTTACTAAAAGACATAAAATTCATCCTTGGTGAGAAATTGAAGAAAAATTAAAATTTTTTTTATTAATTTATGTTTTATAGCTAAAAATGATGCAAAAAAGTTGATATTGAAAATAAAGGGATTAATGAATTATTTATAAATTTTTCTGCAATTAATAAAGGAATGATTTTTTGTATTGTTAATAAATTAAAATAGAATTAAAATTTATTATTTCTCTAATTGAAATTAATCATAAATGAAAAGGAATTATACCTAATTTAATTAAAATTGAAATATTAATTAAAATAAAAAGAATTCAATTTGTATTATATTATATTGAAATGCTGAAAGAAAAAATAAAGAAGATGAAAAAGCTTGAACTACAAAATATGTAATTATAGCATTTAAATTTTTTAATTTATAATTATTTATTAAAGGAATAAATGATATTATATTTATTTCTATTATTAATCAATAAATAAATCAAGAGTTTGATGATAAAGAAATTAATACAGTGATAGTAATTATCCAAATTATTAATTTTTTAAAAAAATTAACAAAGGATTATTTAAATCATATTTGGGGTATGAACCCAATAGCTTATAAAATTAGCTTACTTTGTTAAAAATCTTAGATAATAATTATTATCAAATTTAAATTTGCAATTTAATTTTAATAAGATTTACTATCGCAAGATATAATTACATCTATTTAGAATAAGGGTCCACGACCGGCTGTCTCATTTATTGACCCATAGGAGAGTAACAAAGGGTCATACTAAGTCATGTACACATCTACTAATTAATAAATTCGGAAAAAAAAAAGATGGTTACATTTTGCTCAAATTATAGGTCTTATTTTCAAAATAAGGGTGATTTGCCCACTAAATCCTAGCATACTCACATCCTTTTATATATCCAGATAACCGATAGACATGAGTTTTGAAAAAATTAAAATTTTCCCGATTTAATTTTATTTTATTTTTATAATTCAATTTGGCAGAAAAATTGCAATAAATTTAGAATTTATTTATGAAGTAATTCAATTGAAATAATAAATAGACTTTTAGAAAACAATCTTTTTTATATTTCAAAATATATACTTAATATAGTTAAAAAGTCTATGTTAAAGGAATTATAATAAAAATTATAAAATAAAGAATTGTTACAATTTTTCTTATTAAATCAAAAGGATATTCAATAGGTATAGCTCCCAAATAAGTTAGTAAAAAAAAACAATTAATTAATAATCAAAATATAATTTTAAATATGATGTTGAAATAAAAAGAAGATATTTTATTTTTATTGAAAATGAAAATCTAATAATAATAACAATAGATATTAATAATGCAATCACTCCCCCAAGTTTATTAGGAATTGATCGTAAATAGCATAAGCAAAAAGAAAATATCATTCAGGTTGAATATGAGGTGGAGTGATTATTGGGTTTGCAATATTAAAATTTTCTGCATCTATAAATTTGTAAGGGTTAATAATAATTAAATATGAAAATATTATAATTACTAAAAAATCCCTAATAAATCTTTAATTGTAAAATAAGGATGAAAGGAATTTTATCTAAATTTATTGTTACTCCTAAGGGATTCTTGAGCCTTTTCATGAATAAGTATAATATGAATTATTGTTAATATTAATAATATAAAGGGCAGAATGAAATGTAAAGTAAAAAAACGAATTAAAGTATTATTGTCAACTGAAAACCCTCCTCAAATTCAATAAGTAATTGAAATACCGATATATGGAATAGCTGAAATTAAATTTGTAATTACAGTAGCCCCCCAAAAAGATATTTGACCTCAAGGTAAAATATAACCTAAAAATGCTGTTGCTATCAAAATAAATATGATTATGATTCCTGATATTCATACTTTTTAAAATAAAAAGATGAATAATAAATTCCACGTGCTACGTGAATATATATGAAAATAAAAAAAATTGATGCACCATTAGCGTGAATAGAGCGAATTAATCATCCGTAATTAACATCTCGTTGAATATGAGAAATTATAGAAAATGCAGTAGAAATATCTCTTGAAAAATTTATAGCTAAAAATAAACCTGTTATAATTTGAGTGAATAAACAAATACCTAATAATGACCCAAAATTTCATATAAACGAAATATTAGACGGTGTAGGTAAATTAATTAATGGATTTATTAATTTTAACATAAGTTTAAATAAATTTTTTAATAGGAGCATTAATTCAATTTAAATTTTTTGCAACAATTATTAATATTAATATAAGAAAAATTATTATTACAATAATTATATTAACAAAATTTACTAAGTAAATTTTGTTAATATAAACTAAATCTAATTTTATTATATATATATTATATGAAATTAGTGTTAATAAAAATGTAAAAGTGACTCTAATTTTTTTATTAAATTTTATTTTTTTGTTAGGACATAATCTAACTATGTATATAAAAATAATTAATATTCCCCCTAAAATAATTAAAATTATTATCATAGATATAATGGAAAATTGATATGAATAATAAAAAACCATTGATAAAAATAATGTTAATAAAATTAAAGTTAGTAGTATTATAACTGGATGAAAAACTGAAGCACAAATAATTGATAAAAATATAACAATTTTAATTTCAGAAAATAATATATAGTATTAGTATGCAAGTTTTGGAGATTTGTTGAGATATTAATCTTTTCTGATGCTAAAAGGAAAACCAAATTTGATTTACAAAATCAACATTTTAAATTAAATTATTTTAACTTAACTTATGACATTTTTAGTAATTGTATTATATTTAATAGGAATTTTTATTTTTTTATTAATCGTTATTATTTAATAATAATTTTATTAAGAATTGAATTTATTTATATAAGCTTATTATTAATACTTTGCATTTTTTTTTGCATATTTAATATTTTAGGTGTATTTACTTTTTTAATTAGAATTGTTTGCGAAGCTGGATTAGGGTTGAGAATATTAGTAATAATAAGATTTTATTACGGAAATGAAATAATAAAAATAATAACTTTAATTAAATGTTAATGTATATACCAATAATTTTAATTTTATGTTTTTTTATTTTATGAATTCTTATCAAATTATAGTTTATTTAATAATTTTAATAATTTTATTAGTGTTAAAAGGTTTAATAAATAATGCTGAGATAATTATAAACTTTTTTATTTTGATCTTATAAGTTTTAGAATAATCAGTTTAACAGTTTGAATTACTTTTTTAATATTAATAGCAAGCCGATTAAATAATCTTTTTCAAAATAAAATTTTTACTTTTTACATTTTAATAATAATAAATTTATTATTCTTTTGTTTTTCATTTAATAATTTTATATTATTTTATTTATTTTTTGAATCAGTTTTATTCCCAATTGTTCTAATAATTATAGGGTGAGGATCACAACCTGAACGAATTCAAGCCGGATTTTATATACTAATATACACAATTTTTGGTTCATTACCTTTATTAGTGTTAATATTAACAAAAAGAATTTCTTTTATAATTATTTATAATGAATGATTATTTAGAGAGATAAATTGAATATTTATTATAATGATTATAGGTTTTTTAGTAAAAATTCCCATATTTTTATTTCATTTATGATTACCAAAAGCACATGTAGAAGCCCCAATTTCAGGCTCCATGATTTTAGCAGGTGTTTTACTAAAATTAGGATTTTATGGTTTATACCGATTTAAAAGATTTTTTTTATTGATTTAATCAATTTTAGAATAATTATTATTGTAATTTCTTTATGAGGAGCAGTGATAATTAGAATTTATTGTTTATTCCAGATTGATATTAAATCTTTAATTGCATATTCTTCTGTATCTCATATGGGAATTGCTTTAAGGGGTTGTTTAACATTTTATTTGTATGGTTCATATGGAATATTAATAATAATAATTGGTCATGGTTTATGTAGTTCAGGTCTTTTTTGCTTAAGTAATTTAATTTATGAACGATTTTACACTCGAAATATTTTTATAATTAAAGGAATAAATTTAATTTTTCCAAATTTAACTTTATGATGATTTTTATTTAGAATTGTTAATATATCAGCCCCTATAACAATAAATTTATTTAGAGAATTATTTTTAGGGTTAAGAGTAATAAAGTTTAGAATATTATTAATAATTCCAATAATAATATTAATTTTTTTAAGCGCTTGTTATTCAATATTTATGTATAGATATATTAATCATGGTCAAAGATGAATAATTTTTAGAAGAAATATAATTTTTGCTCGAGAATATTATTTATTATTTTTACATTTAATACCTTTAATATTATGATTTATAAAATTTAATTTTTTTATAAAATGATTATAAAAGTTTAATTAGTTTAAAAAAAATTATAAATTGTGATTTTATAGATGAAAGTTTCATTAAACAATTTTTATTAATTGAACTTTAATGCTTTTAATATTTTCAATATTTTTTTTAGTTTGTCTTTTATTTTTATTATACAATAATTCATTTATTATTATTGAATATTCTTTAGTAACAATTTTAAGACATGAATTTAAATTTTACATTCTATTAGACTGAATAAGTTGTATATTTTCTTTTATTGTTTTGTTAATTTCAAGAATAGTTTTGTGATATAGATTTAGGTATATAATATTAGATAAAAATAAAATATCTTTTTGTTGAATAGTTTTATTTTTTATTCTATCAATATTACTTTTAATTTTAATACCCAATATATGTATATTAATTTTGGGATGAGATGGCTTAGGTTTAGTATCTTATTGTTTAGTTATTTATTATCAAAGAGTGAATTCATATAATTCAGGAATAATAACTATTATTAGTAATCGAGTTGGGGATGTTATAATCATTATAATAATTATTTTTGCAATTAATTTCAATTCTTTTGAGCTAGTTTCTTTTCGAAAATTTGAATTAATTTGAGGTTTATTAATTATTATTGCTGCTATAACAAAAAGAGCACAAATTCCATTTTCAGCTTGACTTCCTGCAGCAATAGCTGCTCCAACTCCAGTCTCTGCTTTAGTTCATTCTTCAACTTTGGTAACTGCTGGGGTTTATTTACTTATTCGATTTAATTTATTATTTAACTATAGGGTTTTTAGAATATTTTTACTAAAAATTTCTTTAATAACTATAGTTATAGCTGGAATTAACGCTTTTTTTGAAAATGACTTAAAAAAAATTATCGCTTTTTCAACTTTAAGTCAATTATCAATTATAATATTAACTTTAGCTTTAGGCCTTACTTCTTTGTCTTTCTTTCATTTAATTGTACATGCTATTTTTAAATCAATGTTATTTTTATGTGCTGGGTTTATTATTCATAATTTAATAGGAAACCAAGATATTCGTTTTCTTTCAAATTTTTTTAAATTCAGTCCTACAATTTTAAGTTGTATAATTATTGGAATATTATCTTTAATGGGGTTTCCATTTATTGGAGGATTTTATTCAAAAGATATTATTATAGAATTTTTTTTTTTTAAATCTCAAAATATAATTGAAATAATTCTTTTTATTATCGGCATTTTATTTACTTTTCTTTATAACATACGCCTTAGATATATAATTTTATTAAAAGGAACTACAAATGTAAGATTATTAATAAATAATTTAAATGTTTTTATAAAATATCCTATTTTGATTTTATCTATAAAATTAATTATAATAAGAAATTTAATAAGATGAATAATTATTTCTAATTATTCAATTACTTTTTTGTCAAGCCAACAAAAATTAATAATAATAATAATAATTTTTATTTGCATTTATGTATACAATAAAAGATTAAGAATTACTTATAAATTTTTAATAAATATGAAATTTTTCATAAAAATATGATATTTAAATAATTTAACAAGCTACATTTTATTAAGAAATAACAAACGTTTATTACAAATAAGAATCAATGATTGATCATGAATAGAAATAATAGGGCCCTTAGGAATAAAGAAAATAATTATAAATAATTATAATTTTAGTTTAATTAAGAAAATAAATAAATTTGAAATTATTTTCGGGATAATTTTTTTAATAATATTTTTATTTATTTGTTTTTATAGTTTAATTAAAAACATTACACTGAAAATGTAAAAATATTATTTAAAAACATTTTAATTACAAAAAATGGTGCAAATAACTTTGAGTGTTATCACAAAAAATTTTGAGTTTTTAAAAAATAATTAAATTTATTAAAGTTAATTAAAAAATTTTAGTAAAAGTAAATTAATTTACATAATTTATCCTATCAAGATAATCCTTTTTCAGGCATTTTACTATCGCAAGATATAATTACATCTATTTAGAATAAGGGTCCACGACCGGCTGTCTCATTTATTGACCCATAGGAGAGTAACAAAGGGTCATACTAAGTCATGTACACATCTACTAATTAATAAATTCGGAAAAAAAAAAAGATGGTTACATTTTGCTCAAATTATAGGTCTTATTTTCAAAATAAGGGTGATTTGCCCACTAAATCCTAGCATACTCACATCCTTTTATATATCCAGATAACCGATAGACATGAGTTTTGAAAAAATTAAAATTTTCCCGATTTAATTTTATTTTATTTCTTTTTTTAATTAAATTAAAATTTGGTTTTTAAAGAAAAAATTCTAATTTTTTTATACATTTTTTAAAAAACAAATAATAGAAAATTTATTTTTTTTAAATAACTAATAATTATTAAGAGTTAGAATAAATTTCTAGCTAAATTTGTGCCAGCAGCAGCGGTTAAACAAATAGAAAAATTCTTTTTATAATAAAATTTAAAAAATAAATTTAATTATATTTATTAAAAATTAAGGTGAAATTTTTTTTTAATTGAATTTTGTATAAAATTAAAATTCTTATAATAAACTAGGATTAGATACCCTATTATTTAAGAGCTTTACATTGTAAGTAAATATTAATTACGAAAGCAAAAAATTATGGCGGTATTTTAAGCTTTTCAGAGGAATTTGCTCTTTAATGGATAAAACACCTAAATCTTACTTAAATTTGTTAAGTCAATTTGTATACCACTATTAAATTAATTATTAATTTTAATTTATAAAATTTATGCAAATTTAAAAAAAATTAAGTCAAGGTGCAGTAAAAATTTAAGAATGAAGTGAATTACATTTCTTTTAAGAGATTATTAAAATTAAAATTTTAATTTAGGATTTGAAAGTAAAATTAAAATAGAATGTTAATTTGAATTAAGCTCTAAAATATGTACATATCGCCCGTCACTCTTTATTAAGATAAGTCGTAACAAAGTTAAAGTACTGGAAAGTGTTTTAAAAATGAAATCATTAGATGTTTCATTTACAATGAAAATTTGTATAAATTACCACCCTCGAAAATATTTCAAAACTGCCAGGCTCAAACGACATGGCTGTTAGCTTTCAGCTAGTTATAGTTGTATGCAGCCCACACCGAATGTCACGCCACTTGCCTATCTCTGAACCTAAGCACTATTTCTTAAAGTAAGCTTGTTTGTAACAACACAAGCTATGCTTCTAAGTGTTCTACACCTATGCTTACGGTTGTGATTATTTGTTTATTCTAAGCTATTTCTTTAGGTTGTCACTAACATAAATTTTAGTATGTGCAACCGTTTGCTATTCTGCTGTCTCATAATCACCATAGACACTACGAGTCGTGTTCGAACATTTTCATTACAATCAACTGATTAACGAAGTGTAACCAGCTGGCTCTAAAATTTGTGTTGCATACGCCTGCTAGCACCCCACATCCAAAGTCGTTGTAAGCGATGTTATTTTGATGCTGAAAAAATCATAACGATCTTCGTATTGTAAAAAAACTCACAACCTTCAGTGAAGCTCAGCGTAAATGGTCAACGTTGTTATCTAGGTACTTGTAGTGGTAAAGCTTAGTCTAAGCATTATAATGAAAGTAACAACATTCGAACTGTATGGTCAGGAATGAGTGAGAACATTCACGTGGAAAATACTTAACCCTCGCAAATGCAACGCAATATACTGCAGAGCAACGAGTTTTATGAACGCTTTTCAGTGCACTTCATGCAAGGATGCAATTTCTTCAGTCAAGCATTGCTGATGAAATACGCAATAAAATAGTCCACGTGGTCTCCGGTGGCCTCTTTTTGTCGTCCACACTGCGCCATTCAAAATCCAATCTTTAGTACAATACTTTCTTCCTGTTCTTTCTATTCTCAAAGTCTCACTTTAAAGTCTCTTTAAAGTCTCACTTTCAATTATCGGAAAATCAGCTGCTACACCACAGTAAAAACTAGCAGCCTGAAAACGCCATCTGCATGCGCCTACTGTGTACAATTCTATCAAGGCAATATTCAAGTACTTGTACGACGAAGCGAAATTATCGGCGGAACTGAATCTTTTTTTCGTCGGGAAATTGTAGCCCTCGAAACGGAGCGTATTTTTAGCGTAGCATTAAGCGATTGTACGCTGCTCTTCTATACACCTCTTTTTTTTGTACTTTTCCTTAAGTTGAGGACGAATGCAGGCGCATCTCTCGATTGCAGAGTTGTCTCGTTCTCGAGAACGAGTCAATAAATGTTGTTCGTTTTACGCATTCCTTGGCGTGAACATTGCGTTTTCAAGGCACTGACGAAAAGTTATGCCGGAGGAAATTGATTTTTATACATGTCAGGAGACACTCAAGTAAGAATAAATATGTAATCAAAGTTGCCTTTCGAAGCACCGGGTGAGTGACAGCGCACAAAGCAAGTGCATGACTTAACGATAACTCCTGCAGACCCTCTTTTGGAGCAATAATACACGAGCCCGGACATCCTCAGCGTTGTTTGATGGTATTCCAAAAGCCACGGCGAAAGATTTAGCTGAGATAAACAGTTTGTAGTTATTTGATCTCACACGCATACATACACGCATGGATTCACTGCGACTCAGAAGTCGTCATATCCTAATAAACCACAATAATAATCCTAATATCTGGAGTCTTACATGCCTCAGGATGTGCAGGATTCCGGATATATCAGCCAACCGATGCTCATTAGCGTACACTGGCAGAGCATTGTACTAAGACCTTTAACAATTGGCCTCCACCGAACTAAATCGCCGCAGCTGGGACAAAACCTCCGAACTTCTGTTTAGCATCCGAACACCCTAACCACTCTACCAGCGATGAAGAAGTTACGAAACAGCAAGGATCGTACGGAATTAAAATAAACAGTATGGAAGAATATAACGAAGAATGATTACACGCGTAATACACGAGTACCGTATTGCTGAACCTACATTTGTGAAAGAAACACATGCTTCAAATAATGATGTTGTCCGCCTAGCATAAAGGGCGATTTCCCCTCGCCTATTTCTCTAGTGTCTTGGTGCGTTTCGTTGGTACTCATCAATCTTGATAGACTTCATTGTCCCCGATTTAGTTATCCTTGCGTTGCCTTACTGAGTATCTGACTCCCTGACGCTTCCTCTTCGCTGGGGAGCATGGCTGAGCGAGGAACGTTCCGAATACAATTGTGGGCTAGCGCCGCTAGACTATAAATTGAGAGTAACGGTGCACACACACAAAAAAGCTGCGCTTTCGTTCAACAAAGCAAAGCTGTCCCAAAAGCTGCTGCAACAAGGCCCTAATTGTGACGAATGGATGGCCAATAAACTCTCCAATCTATTATTCTCACTACAGTCTCTCTTTATACTTCCCCGTACAACAAGTTTTCCTGGGGCAACGAAGGGAACTAGGAAAAACCTACAGGCACTCGAGCATTTTTAACACACTGTTATTAGTGCATTTTGTTTTATCTTGCTGCATGCCAGCTGTCTCTTTCAATGCCCCATGGAACATTGCTGACGAGGTTTCTTCAAGCCTGAACGAAGCTGGTTCTCGCAGATTTTTGTGAAATCCTTCGATGAAAGATGAGGACAAATTTGCTGAACACTTACCTAGCGGTGAATGTTTTTCAAACCCTCATTACAGCTTCACACTTTGCTCCACTTGTGTGTTTTTCCAGAGGCCAGACACTGTCAAAGAGAGTAAGTTAGGAATTCAGATGCTACTGGTGACATTTATTGGTAATTCATCGAACATCTGTGTATTGCCCCGTACGTTGCGGAAATGAATGTACAACCTCACGGTGTGACGTCCGATTCCGGTTCAACCGCGGCCACTACTTCGAGGAAGCGAGGAAATACATCCAGCGAGAGCGATGACACTGAGCTGTACTCCACATCTTGCGACGAGTTTTTAGATGACGGATGTCAACCTCTCCTGCACCGCAAGGCCAAGCGACGGATCGTCAATCTATCGTCGGTGTCAAGTACGGCCCCCGTGAAAACGGCGCCTCAGCGATGGCCCCATTCCATCCTGTTCGTGTCAAAGAACGCTACCGAAAGTCTGCGTGTTCTGAACAGGCAAGCGCTTTCGCTCTATTTTGAGAACACTGTGCCAAACGAGATCAAGTA